CCTATAGTCGCCGCCTTTTCCATCTCTTTTGCTTTCGTTGCCCACCACTGCTCACGGTCGTTCCTTAGACTTTTTCTTAACCTAGATCTGATTTGTTGTCGCTCTTCATCATGTTCAGAACCTGATGGGACGAGTTTGCGAGAATCCATCAGTGTGATAGACCTTGAAGAAATCCACTGGTTCTTTGTAACTCTGTGGTTTAAGTCACTAATAGATGTCACTGCTGTTTCCACAGCTGCTTGTATATGTTTCCAAGCAACATCTGGGTCAGCCTCGTCTTCACAACTACCTAAGTGTGACCTCAGTTGTTCCTGGAACCTACTTTTGGTTTTCTCGTTACTCAACTCAGTTCTAATGGGTCTTTTTAATGTGGCTTTTTTGCGTCCAGTGAGGCGCAAGCAGATGCGTGCCCGTATTAGGGCATGGTCGGAGTCCAAGCAGGTACTCCAGAATGAGCGACAATCTTCTACCGACCCTCTCCAACGATGACTGATGGCAATATGGTCTATTTGAGTCCATCGTTGGTTTGGTGTAGGGGGTCGCCATGTTAGACGATGTCTCTCCTTATGCTTAAAATTTGTGTTTGCTAAAAATAAACGATTGTCTGAGCATAGCTGCAGCAGACGATCACCATTATCTGTTCGCTGTGTCGGAATACTAAAATATCCACCTAAATGCCTTTCTGTTTGGTTTAAACTACCTATCTGAGCATTAAAATCACCTGCTACGAGTACTATGTCTGAGCGTTTAGCTTTCTGAAGAAGTTCGGACAGCTTTCTGTAAAATTCATCTTTCACTTCATCTGAGCTGCAGTCAGTGGGAGCGTAGGCAGAAACGACAAAAAGGCAACGACGTGTGTCCCTATCCTTCCGAGTTCTTACGGAGCCGTTCAGCCGAACAGCACATAGACGACTGTTGACGGGGATCCACTCTAGCAGTGCTTGTTCCGCCCTCATGCTTAGTGCTATGCCTACACCTGCCAGTCCACGAGAACTTGCCATCGGGTCACCAGATACACGAAGGGTGTATCTCGTTGGCTCTCCGTTTGCCGAGGTGAGGTCAAGTGAATGACCACACTGGAATCCTGTATGCGTGTTTCGGAGACACAGCATACATCAATGGAAAGAGACTCTAGGGTTTTAGCCAAGGAAGCCTGCTGACCGATTTGACATAGGGTGCGTACGTTGAAGGCTCCAATGTGTAGTTTGGAGCGAGGTTTCAGTAGACCTGGGACAGTGTTTTGAGCACTAGAATCGTTGGCTATGGTGACACTTGAGGAGGAAGCCGAAAGAGGAAGTTTAGAGTTGAAAGTCGATGTAGGAGGAATAATAGGAATTGAAGAGGAAGGTTGATTATGAATACAGTGGTCTTGAGGGCGGTTATCACTTCCCGGTTGCCCACACCGTGGAAGGGTTGTTCTGGAGGTACCTGAAAAGGAAATTGGATTAGAAGTGGTCTTAGTGACCTGAGAGCGTGACCGCAGTGCCCAAGGGACAACTGCTTGAGGTCGGTCACACACGACCTTTTATGGGTAATTTTTGTGTTAGCTCCGTACTTATTGAGACCTTACCGCCGGAGACGGATATCCGTGGGATAAGGCGAGGTGTGCATTTTTAGGGTCGACCTTTTCTAACCCCACCCCTCCTTGTGGGAAGGCAGCATCGCTGTCATGCTGGTTGTCTGAAGGAAACACCTTACTGCTGTCACACCTCTGTACAGTCAGCAGTACGACTTCGCCTTCGGACCTTGGGTTTGTTGCTTTTAGTCTTACCGCTCTTCAACCGACCTGTCTGACACGGTTGTTCCAGCCAGTATAGCTCGTTTGGTTCATCACGACAGGCAAGCCCGACCACCACGTCAAGGTAGCAACAACGGTTGGATGTCGAATCATTGTTCACTAATGTTCCACTCACAGAGACCATAATTTTATCTGCAAGTACGTAAACAATAATGAGATTAATATCAGAATACCGGATATTTATTTGAAGTAACTATTACTACGTTGCACTTGCAATGTACAATTCACATTCAAGGACGTAATTTATAGACAAAAGGATGGCATGGCGATGGGATCCCCACTTGGTCCATTACTAGCAGATTGCTTCATGACCAGTTTAGAAAACAACCAACTCAAAACGATTATAGGAAACCTTCATTTGTATAAAAGGTACGTAGATGATATCTTGATCATTTGTGACAACAAATCTGAATTGAGTCATCTAAAGACGTTTAATAATTGCCACCCAGCAATAAAATTCACACTAGAAGTTGAAAACAAACAAAATATTCACTTTCTTGTTGTGGAAATGACAAGAAAATAAAATGGAACTCTATGAAGATCTATCTACAGGAAACCCATGTGGAATAGGCAACTCTGAAGTTTCCACAGCTGGGTTCCCATCAGTAGAAGAAGAAACTTAATAATAACACTCGCCACAAAAATACGAAGAATCTGTAGCTCCGAGGTCTTAGAGGAAGAATTGAGCCTTTTAAAAGAGATACTTATCAAAAACGGATATCCTTCTATATTCATTGATAAGAACATGAAGCCAAGAACTTCGAAAACAAATAATTACAGCCATCTGTTTCACCTTCCATCTTCCCCTTAAATTATCTACCCCCAACTGGTTGATTTTGTTTTCACGATCATTCTGATTACTTTTTATCTTATCATGCTGAGCCATCCTTCCCCAATGACAACTTCCCTATTTATCTTTTGATGAATACTTAAGCCATTAACAATCAAACGATTATTAAAATTTCCTAGTTTAAAATTTTTTAATAACTTCGTTCATTTAACCTCACTATCACCATATCTAACAGAAGTTTACTATCAGTATTATTATCATCCTGTAAAAATAAGTATATATATTTGCGATTGTACAGCTTTGAAAATGAATTCGCCGAAACGAGAACTCTTCGCTGAACTAATCTTACTTATTTAATGTCTTAATGGGTGTATTCCGTTTACTTAAAAATCATACGAAATTATTAAACCAATCAAGGCAGTTTATCAGATAATGATAACAGTGGAATATGTTATATAAATTAAGTTAAGGGAGTCCCTTTTATTAATTGGATTATGGATCGATACTTTCTGAATTACGGGCGTTTGAGAGATTTTTCTAATACGAAATCGAATATACGCTAACAGTTTAGACCATACGCTTAACTTATAGCATCTCAATAATAATCTCTTGGTCGACGTAGTTGAAGAAGCAGAGGTAATCTCACCTTAATTCGCTAATTGTACGTGACGGCTTTCTAGTGTACTACCGTTCGGAAGCTTGTCTTTTTCTATGTTTTAGGGATTTCGTGGACTAGGGTCACATTAATTTGGATACATTTACTAAGTCTACCTCTCCGCTTCCGAATAAAAGACACTTTATTACTTATACGTTTCTGTACTAGTAAAATTTACTCAAATTATTAGTGATCCACGAATGCATTGTATTCTATTAGTATTTTAGTGGTATATTACCAGTTGCATAGAAAATTCAATTATTATGTTTGGTGGTGAGATTTTACTTCTTTGTTCCATTAAAAACATTAGTTTGTTTTTGAAGAAATATAGAACTCAAATCGAATGAATATAGCTATAAAACACTTCAGATAATTTTGAGTTGATTTGTTGTATGGGTATGTATGCACGTTCAGTAATATATTCGTGATGTGTATTTGGTTTTATATATTTTCGTTCTTGTTGGGGACTTTAGATCCCCAGAACTCACTTGGGAAATGACCTAATTTTGTAATTTATTTAGAAGATTTAAATTTCTTTGTTTTCGTGCCAAAGGCGCTCTTTTCACCTTCATGTCGTATTTCCCAATGGGAAATATCTTAAATGCTATTGGTCCGTTGCATCTTTTAATATGCTATTTGGTAGCTCCCCCAAGGACGGTTTTGTACTCATATATACATTTTGAATTGTGTTTGTTGTTATCGTTTCTGGCTGTTTGCAGAATATAATTCCTCATTCCAAGCTTGGATTTCTCCCTCTAGTTAGCGGGGCTGGGACGCATCAATAGCTAGTTTACTGGTCTTTGGTCATCGAGTCTTGTTTCTTGTTCGCAAATTAAGTGAACTCGTGATAGCTTCAACCCTAGCAGTTTTATTTTTAGTCGATTAATGATTTGCTTTCTTTCTTGATTGCCACTGTATACATGGCTATTACCTGTCTGTTTCTCGCCAAAATATGAGTGTTTTTTATTGTACTCTTTAGTTTTGAACCGTTATTATCACACTAACTTCCTTTTTATTCGTTTTTAGCTAACTAATCCGATAAATTTAGTTATTAACCATTGTTACATTGATGTTTCAAGTTCAAATCAATTTTTATTTTAATCCTGTTTCGATAATCTGTCCATAATATATCCACTTAGTTAATGTTTGGTTAGTTATTCACCAAATAATCGACAAAACTATTGTAGACCTAGGACATGTTCATCAACAAATCACATGTTCTAGTCATGCCAGCAGTTATCCAACTCTTACAATTTATTCATCATTTCTATTTTGATTGTGTCTAGCTCAATTATCAAATCTATTCAAGAAAGAAGCTTTCACTTACTGTAACAACCAAAAATAAATCTTTCTCACTGAGTCATCATTGATAGTTCGAAGTCTGTTTTAGGGAAAAATTTTTTCAGAATATTCATGTCATTTTGATCAATTATGGGCTATTGCCTTAACTTCCGACAAATTGTGAAAATTATCCACTAATCACTGTATGGCATCTTCTATATTAAACATTCTTCCCACAACATAAACCAACAATTATATTGCTGTTTCCATAACTAATCATTCTCATCGACACCATATTTATTTTTGTGCTTATTGACTGTTCGTTGTAAAATTTTTATGATTATCAGGTATATTCTTTTTTTGCCTGTCGTCAATTCTGTGTATCATTAATAACCAGTTCTTCCCAATATTGACCATAATTATAATCTCTTTACTCTTCAGTTAGTTATTTATCTTATTCCAATTTTTCAATTACAATGAATCCGTCTACCAGTGTACCGTTAAATGTGCTGTCAGGATATACTGATAATATTAATCATACTATTCGAGAGGTATTTGATAATGATTATTATGAAATCAACGGTTTGCTCGATCCATTTAAAGACGGGACGCAAAACAATGTGCAACAACATGGTGATGAACTGTACATTCAAAGGTCGATGGATAATGGTTTAGACGAAACGACTAGTGTAGATTTACAAATGATACAAGCCGATCAGGACTCATCGTTTATACAATCTTCGGAGTCAGATATAGAATTGCATAATCTAGAAGAATTATTAGCTCGAACATCGATTAGTGATGTTTACTTAGGACCTGTTAAAAACAATGATGGTAAAATCATTCCTTTAGATGTTGAACGTCGTGCAATTCTCAATAATAGTCTGGAATCATTGCCATATTCTTCAAAATCCCTTGCTTTTTCTCCACCTGGTATACAAATTATAACAGAAATGTGGACTACATTTCTACGAGATCGTTTGAGTCATTGTAATAGCCGTATACACAATATGTCTGTAGATAATCTACGCACCTGTCTATATGATCATAGTTTAAATCAATTTGGAAGCACTACCGTATTAAAACGTCGTTTACAAGAGTTTGTGCGACGAGCACGCGTAGCACAGTCAATTGATCACAATATTGAAATCCAAATCAGTGATGATGACGGAGATGATAATGAGAATAGCGGTTTCAGCCACGGTGGTCATGATAGTGTTCTTGGCGAAGTTAATCTAAACTCTCAAATAATTAACAATTGTGGGAATGATAGACGCAGACTGACAAATCCATCAGTTACAACGACGACAAAACTACTAAAACCTGTTATATTGACACCAGATACATTCTATGACTACTTATTAATTATTGACCTAGAAGCTACTTGTGAATCAAAAGAGAAGATAACCACTGATGCCGACTATCCACATGAAATCATTGAATTTCCCATATTACTATATAGTACAAGGTTACGCAAGTGCGTCAGTGTATTTCATGCTTATTGTAAGCCAAGATTACATCCAGACCTTAGTGAGTTTTGTACAGATCTAACACAGATTCAACAAATCCAAGTAGATAACGCCCAACCATTTCCTCATGTTTTGTTACAGATTGAAGAATGGCTGTTCAAAAGACATAAACTGGCCAACAAGAGATGTGCCATTGTATGTGATTGTAGTGCAGATATGAGTAAATTTATGCGTATTCAATGTCGTCTGGCTAACATATCTATACCTAGTTGGGCCAATATATGGATTAACTTGACCAAATCATTTCGCGCTTTCTACAAGTTTCCATCACGCTATCGTATAACATTGAATGTTATGTTACATGATTTGGGTTTATCTTTTGTTGGTCAGCGACATCGTGGTTTAGATGATGCTATTAATATACTACGTATCGTACGTGTATTATTGTCAGATGGGTGTTTGCTACGTGTCAATGAACGTATTGATTTTGATAGACCTCCTTCTTTTGTCTCCTCTGTACCAAGGCATGTGACGCAGGTCACATCAGGTTTGATGGGGAGCAAACTGGTTTTACTATCACCATCTCCACGAAAAAACAAATCAAACAGTACCGGGATTGGTCGTCACAATCGTACTGTTGGAAACAAACACGTAACTTCAAGTGATCTTGACGACAGCAATCGAGAATCGTTATTATGGTTAGCCAGTATTCAGAAAACTCGGATAAATAGAGATAATTAAGCATGTTCAAATTTTCATATTTCGTTTACACTCTTTCAAAGTTTAGCGTAGTAGATGTTTCTTTTTTCATTAGTAACTTTTGTTTCTATCTTTATGCATAACTAACTCATATGTCCTAATGTATGTTTATTTTGACTGTTTTCTATTATTCAAGTACTATAAATATACTGCACAGAAATATATACAGTTGCAAACTGGTAAAATGACCAGAAATTAAGTAACCTATTCGGTTGGATTATTTGCCACTAAATATCTATAAAAAATAGTTATGTGGAGATTTATTTTTCGTGTGTTTATGATTTCTCTCCCTAATCTTATGTTTTATTCTCAGCTTCCTACCAAAAAGCCTGTATGATTGATTGTCTCAGTTAAAAGGGAATGATGATAATAAAGTAGTTAACCAAACTTCTATTATTTGTTTCTGGTTGTCTGCTTTCTATCAGTTTTCTTTTAACGTTAAATTACAACGATATGTAAGCTTAATTATTTTTGCTGTCTTAAAAAAGTTCAGGTTTTATTCTGTACACAGGAATTTTGTGATGGCCTATGGATTAATGTCACAAAATCCTTTCTTCCTATGCTCTTTATTTGCATGTATTAGTCTCTTTTATTTAGAACATTTTGTTTCAATATTTTTTATTATGAACTGGTGCGATGTAATATAAAGTAATTGAATTATCTCTATGTCAGAATAATAATGATTGTTTATTGATACGTTCTCTTTGACTGCAGCTATCACGAATAATTCAAATAGAAATCCATTTGTACATAGTTCCGATTTTTTCTAGTAGTATGTTCTTTACACGTTAAGCGAACATTTATAACTTAAAAGGTTTTATTTTGAGGTTGGGAGAATTCCGTTGTGATGAAATACATTTCCTCATATTTCAGGTCACAACTACAGTTAACGGTATTGATTTCTGATTAAATATAAGCCACACAATTGTTTAATTAGTATTGTATTGCACAAGACACCATACAACTTGATACGTATAGTGAAAGTGTGATTGGTTGCTGAGCGCGGACAAACAGGCACTTAGCCTAATTAACTATTAAACATGTGATTCCCTTTCCTCCCATTGATCTCTATTCCAAACTCACCGAGTTTCACTGCTTGTAACTATGTTGAATAAATTATTATCTAGTATTAATCTGGTTCTGTATTCTGGTCGTGAATGCTTGATCTAATATAACGTATACCAAGGAAGAGAAAAATATTTTAAACCGTCCGGTATATTATAATTCAGAGTTGTCAAAGCGAAAGGAAATGCAAAATCGTAGGGGTACACATACTATTAGTAGTAAATTACTAAAATAGAGTATATGCAAAATCGCGTTAATACGGAATGATAAGATGCTTACGGCTGAAAACGGAAAAATGAAAATATTGCACCTGATATGATTGCCTTAATCTCTAAACATTAATTATGACTTCCGTGAAATCGTAGCCAAATTACTTGGAGATAACACTAGCCCTAAAAATAACGGAATTGTGATCTGATCCAAAGTTTTAGTTTGGTCACGTTTCCTCAATTTATTTCATCCCGGATCAGGTTTTTACGTTGATGAGTTGTGTTTGTGTAAAGTATTCAAGCTATGTCGGTTGATTAATATCTACAGCTATGTGGCATACATTCTTCGGGTACATGCGTTATCGAATAACTACTGTATAGATATTTTCAATTTTTAGAGACAACGCTTCAATCTTAGAATAGACTACTGTACAAACTTAGTTTAAATATAAGTGGTAAAACCAGTTCACATGAGGAATGGGTAATGTAGATAAGTATAGTGAAAGCTAGAGAGGATTAGGTGAATATGGGCCGTCTTTAGAACATTCTCGATGTTGTTCTTGCTGTAGAAGATCAAATTTACGACTAGTCGGTGAGAGCTGTTTTGCTCTATGTCTGAAAAATCTGGCCTCGGAGTTGAGAATGATATGCGACTTTCTGTGTTTGGTCATCGCTGTCTCCGGAAGATTGTTGACATCCAATTACAACACCATGTTAGTAATGTGAAGATTCGAGAACGTGTATTTGAACACAGTGACAATAAGTCAACTGATGTCACACATCTTATGTAGTATATGTCTGTCTTACCAAAGATGACAGATATATTATGACATTAAGTACTCTTGGCATTGATACCATAATTAGTCATGATTAGTGGTTTGAAAGTGAAATAACCAAATACCATATTTAGTAAATAATTTAAAGAACACAACACAAAACATGGCAGATATTACTATACAGTTTCATGTACTGGTGTCGCCAAATTTAAAAGATAAAACAATTAACTAAAGGCCAAAATTGGACAAAGGTAACAGTTTCTTCAGTTGATGATTATTAATTGGTTGTAGTGTACATACATACACAAACTTTATCGTAAGATAAGAAAATTTCTGGTCAAGGTGAAAAAAGAAGCGTATAACTCTCTGAAATAAACAGACTAAACGACTATGAAGAAATCTGATGTGATAGAGGATAGAAATATTTAGATGCATATCTTATTAAATTAAGTCATTGGATAATCAAATAGTATGAAATAAATCTACTCATTTTCATGTGATCCATATACACACACAAATATCGGGGATTTTATTGTGCTGATTTCAAATTAATGGATGTATAAAACACTTAATACTGGTATTTATTTCACTGGTTAAATAACAAGTGTTGTGAGGTTTGTAAGAAGAAGGAACAAACATATTCTGTACAATGTTATTGTTGCTGATCTCAATCAATAATATTAATCCCCATTTTGTTTTAGGATGATATTTCGTTATTGTTGTTAAACGAAATTCCAAAGAATTGGAGCATAGAACAGAAGAGACGGAAAGCGGTGGAGAGTAAACAGAGGGAAACAAGTCATTTGACAAAATAGCCTAAGTTTATGTACAATACGATCCAGTTACTTACATTGGGTTGATTGGTTGAGGTGGTGGCCAGTTATTAATCAGATGACGTAATGGACGAAAAGTAGTAGTACATGGTTTGTAGTTGGAATTTTTGTTACAGTAATCAGGACCAACTGTAACAAAAAAGAAAAACATTTTAGAAAAAGTACAGAAAGGTGAGGAGGGAAGAAAACCACACATGTAAATCAACTTCATTAATCAAGAAAATTGAGAAGAAAGTAAATCAGTGAAGGGTTGATCTATATATATATATATATATATATATATATATATATATATATATATATATATATATATATATATATATATATATATATATATATATATATCATTGACAGTGCAATCTTACTTTTAATCGACAATTTGATCAGCTATATTACCATTATCATAGGGTTAAACTGTTTATCATTCATTTGGATAAGGACTTAGGTTTTTGCCGTATTATCCATCCTGTGATAACCGTAGAGGGATTAGTTTGATTAATATAGCATCTAAAATACTAGCCTCAATAATTATCGGATGCCCATCCTTCTCTCTACGAACTAATTCTTCCTTCCTGTACTATGCCTTTATATGCAATTGATCAGCGCTAATAACTAGACGAAAGATTTGATGCTAATAGTCAGTGACCAAAAAAACTGGCAATATCTGTTTAATAGGAGGTCATTTGGAGCACAAATACCTTAGTTGTGACATATCAGACAAGTTGATATGGGTCCGGGGCCTACCGGGAGTACCAGTTACCTCAAAATTACGGGTACGCCATGATGACAAGTGCCAACTGGCAAGAAAACTAGATTTAGAGTGTCTCCCACCGACTACCTACAAATACCTAACATTTAGTTCATCTTCGGTGCTTTTTTTGCTCTTTAAACGTCAAGTAATGAAAAACGTTTATCATGTGATATTGTTGGAATAAGGCTATATTCTGTAGTATTTTTTAAAATTTCTTTTAAAAGAAATAACTATAACCACTATAGTATACTACAGAATCTGCCATTTAATGTCGACTTAATCCGATGTAACACAGCGATATCAATAATGATAATATGTGTAACACAATTCCCACCTATACAACTTCGAAGGGTTAGGGTATGGTGATTCTGTTATTAACTCTACTATTTCGGGGTTTGGTCTAACAATTTCATCTCGTGCCAATACGAAGGCGTAAATTGAACAGATGTACATAAGTATCAAGTTCTACGTTGTGGCAGACTGACTTTTTATCGTTAACAATGTAAGCGGCTAATGAATTGTACTACATGACTAGTTAAATCAAAGTAAATTGTGATTATCAAATGTTTGAATGATTCACACAAACTCAGTTGAAGTACATCAACTAATAGAATTGTCAGTCTGAATGATGTAAACAAAGGTTTAAATAAGTTATTTCCAGTTAATTCAATATACAGTCAAATAATTGATGATAATCTTTAATGAAAGCTTATGACAAAGTGCCATGCAGAGGCAATCCACTCAGGAAGCTCATATTATAGTCAGAAATGAAATCCCTTAGTACTAACCATGTTGTAGTGAATGAAGACTTGACGGGATAACCAATTTATTGCAAAATCACACAGTGGGTTAGTTAAATGTGAAAATCAGACATCATCTGCATATCTTCATTGAGTTGTCTCTTACGAGCTCCATTGTTCCTTCATTCTCACTGTTATCTTGATAGCTTTTAGTTTGCTTCTCCCCATTTCAATCTTCTGTTCGCAGATATTCCACTTCCGATTGGTGCTAGATACTACTTATATCTGTCAACGCAACTGACACTACGATACTACTACTGTTAAAAATAGCATTATTGTTGTTACTATTATTACTAGAAAATTATTTTCCCGTTATTAATGAAATTGTTAACCTGAATTCAACTTAGTTAACATGGGATTTGATGAATTTGAGAATTAACTATTAATACTGTAAACATGACTACAACTATCAGTAGTAGTAACAGAAGTAGGTGTTGTTTTCGTTGTTAATTTATTGACAGTTAAAGATAATGATGAGGATGAAGAAAATTTCATGGGATAATTCGATTCTAACTGTTCAAGAACACTTACTAAACATCCGATTCCGTGATTTTGAACATTTTCCTTGTAAATGTTTCCATTCACTGTCCATATTTTCATTATTATTCGACGATAATGAACTATGAACAGACTTTGATGAGAATACAGATGGATTAAAAATTCGAGAAATAACGACTGATGGTGGATCATGAGTACGATTTACTTTAGAAGATAAAGATGAGGAACTAGTAAAGAGTGAACATGAATTTTTTATAGTAGTAGTATTACTAGTAGTAATAATAGAATTTGATGAATTGGAAGTAACAGTATAATCTATACAAGAATCATAATTCATAATCCAACTATTATCAGGCCGGAGACGTGTTGATGATGTACGTGATGATCGAGTAGAATGTGAACGTTCCGGTAATATGACTATAGCATGATTTGTTGTAACATTTTGATTAGTTTTTAGCATGAATAAATCAGGATACGATGATTTCTTTCGTTCAGTCAATGCCATTTTTTATATGTGACAAAGGGATAGAATTAATTTCTTTTAAATCATTACTATTATCATTTATGGATTTAATAATACAATCATTTGGTAACATATATTGAGGTGAAGTAGTTGACTGTGTCATTAAATCGGATTGATGAGGATAAGATAAAAATGGAGCATATGATATATCATTTCTGGGAGTCAATATATTAGTAGCAGTCGTTGTAGTGTTAGAATTGTTACACGTAAATTGATTCTTCCTCCATTTCAGTGTAGGAGTAAGTGCGGATTCGTGTGATGTTAGCATTTTTTCATTTTTACCTTGACTCACTGAACTCATGAATAAATTGGATTCTAAAAAATTTCAACAGAAATAACAAGCATGGAAGAGACAGGAAAACGATAAGAAATCTTTTTACTATTAATGAAAATACGAAATTATTTTTTTAGAAATGCCATTTATCTGATTAACACCAATTACAGGTGTTACGTATTTGACTACATTATGTTTGTCCGCCTAATTGTACTCCAATTATTTATTTAAAATGCAGTGGACAGAAGGACGGAGGGTTCGAGCTTACGGTTTGGTGGATTGGAGTTGGCAGCTTTAACCAGTGGGTTATCATCGTTCCAGAAACTGCATTTAGCTTATTTTAATTGAGATTTGTTATGTCTTGCACAAAATATTGATATGTTACTACTGGCATGGTTTTTGACTATGTCTGTGAAATAACTGCTTTCTGCTAATTATTCAGTAGAACAAGACTGAAATGGCTCAATGCAATGAATAAAGTAAGACTATTGACGAAGATATATCTACGTATTTCCTTCATTCCTATACAAATTTTCCACCTTTGATTTGGGTCCGATTAAGTAGGGTTTTTTAGAAGATGCGAGGGTTAGTGGCGGGTGTCAACGTAAAAATTAGTTATCCTTCTTAAAATTAAACATTGAGGTTTATTTGTACTGAGCAGTTATTGCACAGTAATCATTATCTTTTGGTTTCTAAGCCACTAATACCTTTCTAATTTTATGGATAAAATTAGTAATGAGGTCTATGGTGATATGTATATTCAATGATTTTTGTAATTACAAAATAAAGACCACACTTTTTCCTTGTTTGTGACACTGAATATGTAATCACCCTTATATTCAATATCTATTGTTTCTCTGTATCGATGGTAAACATGGGTATGATTGTACTAATACTAATAAACAATACCGCTGTTATTAAAATAAGCGCTATCTCTGTCGTCTAATTTTTTTTAATTTATTGGCCACGGTCTGTGACTGGAGGTTGTAGTCGTGTTATAACATTCTTTTAGGCCGTTCTACATTATGCCGGAGTTTTGGCCCTTATTATTATTTAATAATACTGTTGGATTTAAGCTTTCTCATCACGTAGTTGGTGCCAGCACGTGAAGAGGAACATTTGTTAATCAAGTGAACTCATCTGTGGTTGTTATCTCAGAAGGAGCTTACAAGTAACATTCATTTCATAACAACTGTTATCACTTTGTTATTTATTATACCATTTTGTTGTGTGCTACTTGTTACCGTTTTGGTTTACTCAGAAACGGATACTTCAGATTGTAATGTTCATATTTTTTGATATATCATTATTAACAGTGAGTATAGTTATATTTTTATTAAGCTTTTTTACTGGGATTTACCACAGGCGCGCTAAATTATGGGACTTCATTAGGTGGTACATTTTATTCTTTGATGAATAGTTGGTTACTGTTACTACTACTACTCCTCTGGGATTTTTGTCCTACTAAAGTGTAACAACTTGAAATGATGAACATATACGGTGAATTATACGTTGCTTTATATGACTGACTGAGCTGGAGGGGCTTGCCATCAGCGAATAGTAGGACGGATGATTTCGCTATAGTTGGTAATTCATTTACGTAAAGTAAGAAGAGAAGAGGATCGAGAATTGTGCCTTGCGGAACTCCACTTTTTACAAGTACCCACAAGAGGAGGGCCCCATTTACCCTTACCCTTTGTCTCCTGTCATGCAGAAAGTTACTTATCCAATCTACGACTGTATAACGGATTCCAAAACGTTCCAGTCTTGATTTAAGACCAGAGTGGGAGACCTTATCGAAGGCCTTATTTAGATCTATGAAGATCACATCCATAGGAATATCCTGATCTTTTGCAGCAGCCCAATCTTCTCTTGCAATGACAAGATTTGTCAAGCATGATAGGCCTCTCCGAAAACCACGTTGTTCCCTGGAGAAAAGATTATGCCCTTCAACATAGTTTATAACAGATATCCGAATGATTTTTTCCATCAGTTTTGCAACTGCACTAGTTAAGCTAACGAGCCTACAGTTACTAACTAAATCCCTACTCCTAGCCTTATACACCGGACTTATTATAGCATCTTTCCAGTCTCTGGGCAGTCTGGACTGCCTTAGAGACATGTCAAAGAGTATCGCTAATAGTTCAGCAATTTCATCTCATAGGGATTTCATAATCCTAGGATAAATATCATCGGGACCACTGGACTTATCAGGTTTGAGATGCTGAAGTAGCCTTAAAACAGTACCTTTCTCAATGACTACAGGGTCCATCAGCGAGCCTCCGCGATCACAGTGAATCGATGGTCGTTCCTCATTACCGATAGAAAACACTTTAGTGAAATATTCTGATAAAGCTTCAGCTTTTTCGGTATCATTTTCTGCTAAGATTAACGGATTTTCTTGTGTCAAAAGTGGTGGAATTCCATCGCTTCTCTGAGTTCGCCTTTTTAAATACGAGAATAACCGTTTCGGACTATATCTAGAATCCCTGACCAATTGTTTTTCATATGATCGTCTAGTCTTGCTTATTAACGCTTTACAGGCATTCCTAATCTTACAATAACTGGATCTGTATTGTTCTAAGCCAGTAGAGATGAACATATTCCAGTGATTCTTCCTTTCTCTAAGGAGTTTCCTGACTGTTTTTGCTATCCATAGTGGACTGTTATTTGGCCTTCGCGGTACCAGGTATGGTATGAACGGGACGTAACTAAACTAAACGTACCTTTAAATACAGACCATGCCTCTTCAACTGATAAGCTAGTATCTATGAACCAATCTGTCTTATCAGCGCATTACTGAATGGTTGATATGTTAGCTTTCCACACATTTGGGCGGGGTGTAACCTGATCATATAACATGTCCCTAGTTCTAAACATGAATAACGAAACAGCGTGATCGCTGTTCACTAATGGCGGAAGAATATTTAGGTCGACAATATCCTCAGTATCATGAGTGATTACCAAGCCCAACAGAGAAGAACCTTGGGAAGCACCAAAACGTGTGGGTTTGGATACATGCCGCACTAGTGCATGCCCCATTATTGTTACCAGGAACCTACTATCAAAGGAGTTTATCGATCCTTCCGTAGTAATTTCAGTCCAACTGATGTCAGGTGCATTAAAGTCTCCTATTATCAATCATCTGGTATTTGCACTCCAAAGATGAATGTGCTCTAAAATAAAGTCATCGGCTAATCATATTGGACTGCGATGGATGACACCGAGTATAAATGTACTACATCCGATAGCCAATTTACAGATAATGAAATCACAAGTACCGCTATCATGGGATTCGCTAGCAGAGGAGCGGATATTAATATTATTGGCTATATATAACAGGGCGCCACTTCCTTTTCTACATCTATGTCTATCACTCCTGGGATAATGGTATCCGAATAATTCTGGTATGATGTCTAAGTCACAGACTAACCAAGTTTCTGTCACTGCTACGATGAGTGGTTTTAATCTGTCCATCAATGCTTCTAGTTCATAGAACTTATTTCTTAGACTATGAGCATTGGCATATAACACTCCTAAGTAGAACGGCCTATCCACACAGGCCTTGGTAGCATTCACTTCCAAGACCTGAGTATCCGAAAACCCACTAGCCGGAGATTTTCCCCACCATTTTGCCGACGGTTTTCTATTTCAGCTAATGTTTTCTTCCTTTTTATTCTATCTTCGAGAGACATATCGTGTCTAACCCGTATATCGGAATTGTCCCTCAGGACACTGTGACTACTTGGAGCATTGATGGTTTTATCCAGATCTTCGGTGTCTACTAGGGGTGCATAGTTGCCAGTATCAGTGTCAGGTGGTACTACCCCCGTCGTTAATGTTAACGGAGATTTCACTTTTCCGTCAGTCATAGTCGGTTGTTTAAGGCGTCTCGTAACAGCGCGTACTACACTGACACATTCGTTACTGTCAGTGCTCGTGTTATTAGTGCATGCGCCATCGTTCCTCTCACAGGCCAGGGCCAATAGGCTCATAGCCTCCTGTATTAGTAACGTCTTATTTGCACAGCAAAACATGCAGAGTCAATGTGAGTTGGGCTTCGAACATATTTTGTATGCAGTGGGACTTAAACGGGTGCACATCTTATGGAACCATTTTTTGCATTCATCACACTGCATTCCTTCCTCCACAGGGAACAAACAGTTTGGTTGTCCACATTTGTGAGTACTACCAGCCATTCTAGTCAGATTAAGGTGTAAAACACAATATGGTCGCAGTATGAACACAGTGTCGGTCAACGAGTAAAGGGTACTACAAAACAAACTTTAGCAAGATTTCAAACCTTAACTAAAGTACTTTGATTCAGACCAAGAATGCTTTTGATGCAATAACAACACAAAAGCAAAGATAATCACAAGAAATACGAAATCACTGCTCTTTTGAAACACCGACGACAAACTAATATGGAAGCAGAAACGATACTGTAATCGAATACTTTAACTGAAATAAATTCAATTAAAGCAAAAACAGTAATCTTGATACATAATAACGTTCAAAACAATAGAATTTACTGAACGAGGAAAAATACCACTTTCTTTTTAATTAGCCTTGAATTCTTAATATATGATTTCAATATGCAATATATTTGTAACCAGCTTCCCATATACACATTATTCTTGTGACGACGTTGAATAAATTAGTTGATTTATTCGCATCAGCTTCTTGTCGTTTTGATGCGGTATCAGGTTATTTGTAACTCCCTATTGGTGGGGTGAGTAACCTAGCCATTCGTTGCACTAGTTCTAGTCACTTCGGGAGTTATTTGTGGGTTTTTACATCTTCGTCCACCCCGTACACATAATAATAATAATATACTTCTGCATGTGCAGGTACACACCGTTTTTACAGGCATGATCTATAAATTACAACATTTGTTGGTTCGCAAAATGCTTCCCAACTTATTAAGTTTATAGTTGTTATAAAGTGAAATCGTAGAGCGCTTGCTGTAAACTATGACCTTGAGAGGACGCGTACGTCAAGTTTGCTCCAAACGTCAGAAGTTTCATAGCTGTGCTCTCAGAGCAAGATTCTGAAGGAGAAAAAAAGAGAAACAGAAGAGCAGCAAGGCACTTGGATATGAACGCCAAAGGTTGCTTAACATTGTGTAGTAGAACGGACAGAGGTATAATAAATTAGAATAAATTCATATAATGTCTTGTTAGAGTGGAGTGAAGTCAGAGGCTCCATATTAGAGAATGTACTAATAAAGAACAACGAGTTGTGATGTTTAACAAGTTGGAGTAAGCTCACATGAAGGAAGGGAAGTCAAGGTTGGTACAAGGGAAGCGGTTTATTAGAAGGGTGTGTATATAGAGGGTGAAGTGTTAAGAATACTAGTGACTATATCTTTTATTGTCTTTTTTCTTTTCTTTTTTTGTCCATCCGATGTCAGCCACGCAATCCTAGTGTAAAAGTCCGAGTTAGCATGTTATAGGTTGTCTTAGTAGAATAGCTAATCCAGCATATTATTGGAAACATGAGTCTGAGTGGTGAGCGTAGGAAGACAATCTATATCTTAGATTGACTGTCTTATTCTCAATTATAAAGAGCCTGATACATACAAAATGTTCTGTCCCCACAAACACGGGTGGATT